ATATATGTCTCGATAAATACATATACATATTCCTCTGGACATCAAGGGGCAATCTCAACTTATAAGAGGCCAACTAATAATCTTTGGGCCCAAAACACCTACGGCCTGTTAAAAGTGCACGTGCATGTAATACGAATGAATTCACACGTGGGTTTTGGTCGTGTGATATATATATACACACGTGTGGGTTTTCCACGTATTTATACACACATGTTATGAAATCAAACTCCCAAGGTGTGCGCAAAGAAACATTCCTGTCCGTAAGCGACTCCTCACTCTCCGCTCTCACCAATGCAACGTGCTTCTCGCTCCCCCTTCCCTCTATCGTTTACAATCTCTCTCTTCCTCCCCATTTTCTCTCTGTTCCCTGATCCAAATCCAACATTTGGAGCTCCGTTTCTTCCACATTCATGGACACCCACATCGAAGAAGTGGACAGGGAGGCCTTGGCAGGATTAAGCTCTGTCCCGCCTCCCCGCAAGATCCACTCCTACAGCCACCAGCTCCGTGCCAACTCCGGCAAGAAACGCCACCACCAACTCCGCAAACACAGCCTTGATGAGCTTCCCAATTCCTCCGACAGCTTTTACGATTCCGACGACGATGAGTTCTTTCCTTACTCAGCTTCCACTTCCAACACCGGCGACCTCCCCGACGAAGAGTATGTCGCCCCAGGCGTGGAAGCTGTGCCCGACGATCCCCGACAGTACCAACCATTGCCCGAGTTTGTTGGCAGTGGTGGTGGCACCGGCATTTTCAAGGTTCCGGTGCGGGCCGCCGTCCATCCTGGACGACCGCCGTGCCTCGAGCTTAGACCTCATCCGCTTAGAGAAACGCAGGTGGGGAAATTCTTGAGGAACATCACTTGTACGGACACCCAGTTGTGGGCTGGTCAGGAGAGTGGCGTTCGATTTTGGAAGTTTGAGGATGCGCACGAGCCTGGTATCGGGATCGGCGGGAGGGCAAGGAGGGGAGATGAGGATGCGGCGCCGTTTCATGAGTCGGCTAACACGTCGCCCACCATCTGTTTGATGGTGGATAATGGAAATAAATTGGTGTGGAGCGGCCACAAGGATGGCAAGATTCGATCGTGGAAGATGGATCAGCCTGCTGATGATGCTACCCCCTTCAAAGAAGGACTCTCATGGCAGGCGCATCGCGGCTCTGTTACTTCTATCATTATGAGCTCCTATGGTAATCTTCTCATTGTCTCTGTCTTAGCTCCTTTTTTTCTTTTTAAGTTCGTCAGCAAGAGCATTGGAACTTAAAGGTTACGCTCTTGTGCGTTTTATCCATAATTTATCTTAGCATTAGAAGACTATGGAACTAAATGTAGTCCCATTCAAGATTTCCTTCGTTATATCGTATATTAATCTTGTCATTGTGCACCCAGATACCCATAGTCTTAGTCTTCTGGATATGCTTGTCAGGAATCTAGGGACTTTTCCTATTATCTTGGCCACTACTAATGGAAGTTTTTATGCACTCTGCATTAGTTAAATAAAAGCATTTAAGAAATGATGTTGAAATTTCTTTCGCCAAATATAACCATATTATACACATAATATTGTTTTTGATTATTCAGGTGATATGTGGTCTGGTTCAGAAGGTGGTGTTATTAAGATCTGGCCGTGGGAGTCTATTGAGAAATCTCTTTCATTCAAACCAGCAGAGAGGCACATGGCTGCTTTATTAGTGGAGAGGTCAGCTTTTGACCTTAGGAGCCAAGTCACTGTTAATGGTACATGCAGCATATCCTCTGCGGAAATCAAGTCTTTATTAGCTGATAATGTTAGAGCTAAAGTTTGGGCTGTTCAGCCTCAGTCCTTCTCGCTCTGGTATATTTTTCTCTCTGAAGAAAATATATTGCTGCCATATAGGTTTAACATGTCCCAGTTCTATGTTTTCCAGCTAACATTAGCATGTCTTGTGGCCTTTACCAAGGGCCTGTGAAATTCTCTTTTTTTCTCTCAGTATCCACAAATTTGTAGTTAGAAATTTTCAGGAAGTGGCATACTTCCATCTTCTTCCATATGATTATGAGACACTCATATTTGTTGTAAATTTAATGTAGTGCATCTAAAAGTTAATCATTGTGCAGGGACGCTCGCACAAAAGAGCTTCTAAAAGTGTTTAATATTGATGGTCAGATTGAAAATCGGGCAGACAGTTCATCAGCACAAGATCAATCAGCTGAGGATGAGGTAAAGGTAAAGTTTGTTTCCACGTCAAAGAAAGATAAATCACAGGGCTTTTTGCAACGATCACGTAATGCTATAATGGGAGCTGCAGATGCTGTTCGTCGAGTTGCAACTAGGGGGACAGGGGCATTTGTGGAAGAAACCAAGAGAACAGAAGCAATTGTGCTAGCTGGAGATGGAATGATCTGGTCTGGATGTACCAATGGCCTACTTGTGCAGTGGGATGGAAATGGAAATCGTATGCAGGATGTTAACCACCACCCTTCCCACCCCTCTGCTGTTCTGTGCTTTTGCCCTTTTGGTGCACAAATTTATGTGGGTTATATGAGTGGTGTCATCCAAGTACTAGATCTTGAAGGAAATTTAATTGCAGAATGGGTTTCTCATAGTAGTCCTGTGATAAAATTAGCAGCTGGGGGTGGATATGTTTTTAGCTTGGCCACTCATGGTGGTATACGTGCATGGAATGTTGGATCTCCCGGACCTATAGACAATGTAATCCGGTCAGAAATGGCTAGAGTAGAATCAACTTATTCAAGAAGAGACAATGTTAGAATTCTAATTGGGACGTGGAATGTTGGTCAAGGAAGAGCTACTCATGAGGCACTTATGTCATGGCTGGGTTCTGCTGCATCAGATGCTGGCATCATTGTTGTTGGGTTACAAGAAGTAGAAATGGGTGCAGGTTTCCTTGCAATGTCTGCAGCTAGAGAAACTGTAAGATCCTCCCGAATTATTGCAATTCAATCCTTCTTTATTTTTTTATTAGATTTTACTTTGAATTATTCCTAAAGCAACGGTTCTATGTACATATTCTCACACACTTAAAAAGAAAAAACATGCATTTTCTTTTTAAGCTTTATGATATGATTCCTGCTGGTTCAAATTTCTGTTTACAACTTATGGTGCTTGGAAATAGCGACCTTTAAATTGGTCATTCATTCTACAGTCTGTAGCATTATATTTAGGAAATTTTTTTGTGTTATAATCATTAAAATAGTAATGCTCCGGAATAATATCATAACTGGAATTAGGTTTCTCTATTGATTTTCTCACATGAAACCTTAGTCCAGTAGATTTTGCAAGGTGTTTGTGAATGCTGAAAGAAATACACTTGCTTTAAAATGTGCACACAGGTACCATTTTAGAAAAAAATAAGCAGTTAATTATTTGGATAGGGATGCTTATTGTAAAAAAAAGGTAAATAAGCATAAATAATTGACTAATCATACTAAGAAAATAAGCATTCTAAGTTAATACAGAAAAAGTTAAGAGGAAATGCTTTTTCTTTTCCTGTTTAAAGCAGATTATTGTTATATAAGAAGCACTCTGTTGATATATGAGTAAACACTAACATTTGAACAAAATGATTGAAGCTACTTGTAAATACTAATAAACAAATTTAGACACCTTCTAAGTCCTGTCACAGGAATGTGTACTTCGTCTTAAATTCCAGTTCTGCATTACTATCACATTTTATTATCAATCTGTTCATATTAGTCTACAATATACCATTGCTGCTTCTGCA